ATCTTGCCCAAACGTGCTTCAAACGCACATCTTTCTTCCAAAGATGTTATTATATATCAAACATACTTTAAATGTATATTACCACTCTATTGGTAATTATACACTTATTACGATAACAATTCATATTTATTATTTTACAATATCTCGCAATCGTTTATTTATAAACTTATCGATGTCAACTATCATAAGTCTCTTTATCACTCCGAAAAATTCTATTATGAAAGTTCTTAAAATTTTCTAAACCATGGTCAGCAACAGACCTTAAGCTTTCTCACATAATAGAATATAAGGCATATCTCTTCTCTATATTCATTTATCATTTAGCACATAATAGAATATAAGGCATATCTCCTCTTTATATTCATTTATCATTTAGCACATAATAGAATATAAGGCATATCTTCTCTCTATCTTCATTTATCATTTAGCACATAATAGAATATAAGACATATCTCATCTTAATATTCTAGTGCTTGCCTCCATAAGGTATTTAACCTAAAATATATCGTATCATCTTTACTTAATAATTCTTGTCTAAGTTTAGAAATTCTTAAAATTTCTAGTTCACTTAAACTAATTTTCTTAAAATTTTGAAGTAACTTAATATCATAGAATACTAGGGTTTATCACTACCCAATTCCCACTTAAATATTTCCTATGGTTTGTATCCATATACTTATTACGAATCAGCTCATATATTGAGCTTCTAACAGTTTAAGTCTAAATACCAATCTGTGATATTTAGTTCACTTAAACCATTGCTCTGATACCATGATTGAAAGACCCCAACTTTCATACTATTTCAAAAGATTTCTTAAGTTACTTCCTCAAAACATGCTACATGCATATTTATAAGACAATATTTTATATTGATAAAGTGATTACAAAATATTGGATACAAACTGACTAAGTTTATTACAATTTCATGTCTACCCAGGAATCTACTATTCATATACATACATGAACACTAAAATACAGAGAAATACTATTAACTATTCTAAATCTTTCAGCAGTATAAAGCTATATTGGAATACTCATCACCGACAATTGTTAAATATTGAGAGGAAGAAGTGATAATGCTTAGTGAATTCAATAAATAGATACAATATAATCTTATGCCTTACATATACCAATATGACAGAAGCAGAAGGGAACAAGAAGACATATGTGAAATCATGTGACAAGCGTTCATATCAATTAAAGACTTTATTCAAATATATATTTTTCAATGAGACATAACTATTTCAATACTTGTAATGCATCAAGAAAGCTTTGGCCTAATTGGCACAGAGGACATATAATTTCTGATTAACATTTTGATAGATTTCAGGCTTATAGCCGTGTCTAACCATTTGCCAATACCATAGAATAAAATGCATTCTCTTACGGAGTCATGCTCTACCTGGTCAGAGGCTACATATCATTCTTATCAAACCTTATGCCAATGCCATAGAATAGAAGTCATTCTCTTACGGAGACATGCTCTACATGGCCAGAGGCTACGTACCAGTACCAATGTGAATCTAAGTCCTTTCACTAATCACATGGTCAAAGGTATTATATTTGCTATAAACATAGCGAATAAAATAACACGGGAGTATAACTCAGAATAATAACACTGAGAAGCACATAGCACATATAACTCATAACATAAAATTGTTCCTATCTATTGAACTCACCTTAAGTTAACCGAGGGTTAAAATAGTAATTTGGACAACATTTCGGCTTTAAACATGACTTTCTATGTTGAAAACTGGGAGCTTAATTGAAAACCGGGCTCTGCAAAGGTAGGGCTTCAAAACTGAAAAGATAAAATTTTCGGGCTTCTCGGGGTTCTCGAGACGTGTTTCAGATGCTAAAATTGATATCGGGGCTTCGGGAAACGTCAAAATAGTGAAAATATGGAAAAAGGGGCCAAAAATGAAAATTTTCCAATTCTAGCCGGGAGGGTTCGCACCTTCCTATTTATAGGGGCGAGGTTCGGATCATGTGGCTGAGAAGGAACACGTGCGCCTGCGAGGTTCGGTCAGGAGGGAGAAGGCGTGGCACCTGCGAGCTTCGGACCAATCATGCGAGGCCACGTCTCGGTGACGCGACTTTCTCGTGCGAAGGACGTGGCAACTATGAGGGTCCCCGGTGGCTTCGCATGTTTCGGACACCTGTGCGACAAGTGGCATTGCGAGGCGAGGCCACGTCTCCAGTGACGCACCTGCTTCGTGCGAGGTGATGTGGCCGGTTACTATTCATGCGAGATTTCTCGATTTTTTTTGAGCCCTGAACTTCTAAAATCCATAATTTTCGCATACGAGCTCCGTTTTTGACGTTCTTTATATGCACGCGTAGCTAAAATTACGATCTACAACATTTGTTTATACTTCGTCGGCTAATTTTGAATTTATTTTTAATATTATTATTTTTAACAGACCGGGACAGGAAAATCTGTTAAAAATTCATGACTTCTTCATCCAACATTCGTTTTCGTCAGACTTTTTACCGTTTTAGTACATATGACGAGACCTTAGATTCTCATTTAGGATGTATCGGTCAAATATCGCTTGATCTAAAATTCGAGTTTTTAGCTGTCTACTACTAAGTTGAAACTTCGAAAAATCATAACTTCCTCATACAAAGTCAGATTTTGGCGTTTTTTTTTATCGAATCTCGGTTTAACGAATACTACGACTTTCATTTAGATTACCAAGGCTAAAAAGTAGTTTATCAAAAACTCACTTTTTACGTCATTCGGCGCCGTGCCGGTTTTGTCGCGGATCTTCGGTTGGTCATAACTTCTTCGTTATAACTCGGATTTCGACGAGGTTTTCGCCTACAAGTTTCTAACGAGATGATTTACAACATCAAATAATAAAAGTTTACTTATTTCAAATTTATATTTTCGCTAAGTTTCACTATTTGGATATTAATTAGAATCTCATAAGACTTCCAATAGTTTATGAGTGATTCTAAACATAATTTTACTTCATTTCTAGTAAAAACTAGCTGTTAGAACTCAACACTCAATTTTATTCACTTTTAATAATAACACTACACAATTTCAGAATGTGTATGTTACATAGAGCATGACTCCGTAAGAGAATGAACTATATTCTATGGTATTTGCAAATGGTTAGATAGGGCTATATGCCTGAAATCTACCAACATGTTAATCAGAAATTATATGTCTTCTATGCCATTTGGGCCAAAACTTTATTGATGCATATCAAGTATTGAAATCGTTATGTCTCATTGATCGTAAATCTTTGAATCAAATTTTGAGTTGATATTGAAAGCCTGACATATGATACGCATATGCTATTGTTGTTCTTGTTCCCTTTTTCTTTTTTCATATTGGTATATATAAGGCATAAGATTATATTGTATCTATTTATTGAATTCACTAAGCGTTATCGCTTATCCCTCTCAATGTTTAACAATTGCAGGTGATGAGTATCCAATATAGTTTTATACTGCTGAAAGATTTAGAATAGTTATTACTATTTCTCTGTATTTTAATGTTCATGTATGTATATGAATAGTAGATTCCTGGGTAGACATGAAATGTAATAAAACTTAGTCGGTTTGTATCCAATCTTTTGTAATCACTTTATCAATATAAAATATTGTTTTCTAAATATGCATGTAGCATGTTTTGAGGAAGTAACTTAAGAAATTTTTTCTGAAATAGTATGAAAGTTTGGATCTTTCATAAATACAAAAGTTGGGGTCTTTCAACCATGGTATCTGAAAATATATAAAATTAATTAAATTAATGGGAAAAATGTCGACAATTATCACATTAAATGTGCATGGTCATTTTTGGTCATTTTTGTGATTAAGCCTTTAGGATTTAGTTATACCTTGTGGAGCTGAACAAGTGGATGAAAAAGTACAAGTGTAACCCTTGATTGAACAACTTCTTGTACCTCATTGTTCCATCTTTTTAGAATCTCTGGATTTGTCTGAGATACAAAAACAAATAAAATATAATTAGGAATTCTGTTAAAAGAATATCATTAAAGATAACAATGCTAATGATTGGTTATACCTTGAGCAAATGGATGCCACTGACTAAATCTGCATCAGCAACTACATGATTTTTGTCAACAATAGAATCAAAAATTTAGTTTTTTGTACCTTAATCATCAAATCAAAGTAACCGTTAGAATTTGGATTTGATATCAGGGTGTATCTGAAAATAAACATTCATCAAAATTAATAAAAAGTAAAAAACTATCTCCAAATACAACATATTGCATGACATTTTAAGATGAAAACGGTTAAGAATGGATATTATGATATCAAATAATTGAAGGAAGTCATAATACCACACTAGCTACAGAGAGAGATGGAAAAAACTATAAATGGGCCAAAACCGTAGGGACCAGAACTGTTGTAGGGACAAATTGTACAAGGACCAAAAATTTAGGGACCAAAACTGTTACTTGTTTTGTTGTTTCCTGTTTCTGAGAACATAAGATACTGATTCCGATCCGGATTTGCTGTCACATTTGGAGGATTTAGTGATTCCAATGCAACTCATTTTTCCACTACTAACCTCAAGAAGCATTTTATCTACTGAGGTGACTTGTCATAAGCAGGATCAGAACAAAACATCTGTAACAATAAGTTCTTGTTTTAAATATTCACCAAATGTCTTAAATACCCTTTGATAATGATGCATTTATGCATTAAAAATTATAAATTTCTATCAAAAAGTATCCAAACTTTTATTTAACTCATGCACCTCTTTATCCATGAAGTCTTGGAGAAGAGTATGCTCCAACTCTTTTGTTGTTTCCTCCCTATCACACCAAAATCGTCTATATTCATTATCATTAAAAAAGAAAATGAAATACAAATAATTTTAGCTTTGTATAAAAAAATTAAAATAAAAACATACCACTTTCACTAATTTTTTTATGCGATACAACAAATTTATAAGAAATTAAAGAATAAAGGTTTATTATATAAAATAAATATGATATTCATATTATAATTTATACTTATAATTCAACAGTAGAACCTACACCACGAGCACAAAGTTCTGCTTGCAAGCATTCCAATTGTTGACGCATTTTTAACATGTCACTAGACACTTGATCCCTATTCACCTATTAAATTGTTTAAAAAAGTAATGATTTATTTGTGTATTATATATAACATCTCACTGTAAAACTTTTTCTATAATAAGCAAATAAATGAAAGCAGGTTGCTATTTCTAGCATATAACTCAAACTTACCACAGGCTTATTATATATATTTCAAGCCTTGTTTGCATACTTTAAAGTGTTGAGAGTCTCCTCAGCATTTATATCAGCGTGACTAACACAAGCTGAAATTAGGAAAAATTATATGTTTACTTAGTACCAAAGATTTTAAATAATAAACAAAATTATAATTATAAATAATAAACAATACTATAGATTATATATGTTACCTATCATAACAGTTTTGTTGTTGCCACCAAGTGAGTCTTGTTAGTTTGGTAAAACATATTTAGATTAAACTAAAAGCAATAAACTGATTTGCATTAAAAAATAGTTAATTAATAATGTCCAACCAGCAAGAGGTAAGTAAGTTTACTATCTCATCACCAAGGGCACTTATGACATTTCCAAGTGCAAGAAGCCCCTTATAAATATGAAATCATGTTCAACAAATCAAGTTATCAGGCTGGTTATTTCCTTTTTCCAATAATGAGGATGAGGGCATTTATGTCTTTTGTGTGAGACAAAAGCTGCAACTTTTGTCCACTCAGTCCTAGTTTCGGTCCTGTTCTTTTAGCCCTTTTTGAACCAGCAAGATCAACTAAATGCAATTTGGCACACAAATATTCATCACACATAGAATCATTCGAGATTGTCTTATTCATTTGTTCCAATGTGATTGTGAAAACTGCATGTGATCGACTACACAAAAAGTTGAAAGTGTCATAAATATATATAATATATGTCATATATAATATATTATATTACTTAAAAGACAATTTAAAGATTAATTACCTTGATTGATTATTCATATTTGTACTTCATGTTGCTCTGCTCAATGATCCATGCTCAAGTCAATCACTCATTTCTTCTAATGTCTTAACAATACATTCAGTAGATCCAGCAAGCATTATGACACCATTAGAAGTTTCCCTAGAATATTCACTTTGTCATTCTGCCCATTTGATGATATCTCAGATTTAGTATCCAACAAGTCTCACACTTCTTCTTTTAGAATCTTCATTGCAAAATCTTTCAGTGAGGTGTAAAGTAAGAAAGCTATTTACAATTCTACTTATAGGTTTAAAAAACACACCTCGATGAAGGAAACATGCAACTGGAACTCTATTTGATCCTGTAAACTTTCGATTTTGTTGAATAAACCAGCCATGGATTGAGGAATAACTCCGGTTTGGTAACAATCTTTGAATCTAGTTCCCATGGTGTATGTCTTCCCTGAACAGGTCTGTGAAATTAGAACATGTAAAGAACTATGATAAACAACAGAATACATCTTTATTACTTGAATCGTGAGAAATTTATACCTGGCCGTAAGCTAGAAAAGTAGCATTATATCCTTGAAACGGACCCTCAACAAGAGGAGAAACACAATCTTCAAACATGGAGGATGATGGGGAACCAGAGCTTCCATAGACATGATCGAAAGTGAAGGAATGTGTTCCAAGTTACACCTGCAACATAAACAAAGATTAATCAATCTCTCGATCATCAGAATTGATACTGAGATCTACCAAATCTTAGGTAACAAAACTCAAACATGGTTTAGACTAAAATCAAGGATCGATTAACTAAAAAATAAAAAACCAAATTAGATGTGTAGAATCCATTACAACCAAGTGAGGAATTCAGTAAACTTTACAGCATTGAAGCTTCTCATCTCCGATATGACCACGACATAATATTAATTCATTTTATCTTGTGAACCTTGTCCAGATGATTTTGATAGTATCTTTACTGCCACATCCATTCCATTGTCTAGAACGCCCTGCAATTATGATGTGATATTGTTTTTTTTTTTTTTAGAAAACTGAAATAACCAAGCCAGAAGTTGGTTGGGCACAAAACTACGTACAAAGGAGTTAGAGCTCTACACAGAAGAGCTAATTAACCAAGCATTTCACTCAATTTTATATTTACTACACCTGCTACTAATTTAATTAAAAGCTACCACATCCTTACGCGATCAAACACAAAATCACAAATTCCCTTTTTTCCCTTAAAGAAAGCCTTGTTTCTAACTTTTATAAAATCCATTGCTTTTGAGTACATCAAGAAGCTAATCCGAATAGTCACACATAGTTTAAAGAATCAACTTTATCTATGATATGAAGCATTGTAGCTAGAGCTAACACCGATGGTTGATAAGTCCCACATCTTGAATCTTGACTTCAAAGAAAATAAACAAAAACATGATGAATGGAATAAATAACTTTGTGATACGATGTGGATTTTGAATGTTATTTGGTCAAACTTAAAGAAATATTTTACTTAGACCAATGAATTACCATAGACCAGGGACTCGATTTTTAGAGGAAAAAGAAAAGACAAAAAAACTAAATATACACATCTGGAACTCGATTTCAGCCTCAAACAGTTCTAGAAGAACTACATTTACGCATCTAGAACGCGATTTTCAGATGAGAAGGAAATGGAAACCTTACCTGCAGAAGCTGGAGGACGCGAAAGCATGAATGGAGAAGTTATCGGAGGTAGAGGGGAAGCCGGCGACAGAGGCGGTGCAAATTAGAGGTGGCGACGACACTGAAGGGAGGGACGCAGAAGTCTCAGCAATAGAAAAGTTGCACCTAATTCCAAAATTAACAAAATTCCAAACATAAATCAACCCAAAATCAGGAAAAATGAAGAGTTAAATGACGCTTCTCGATTAATTGAACCCTAATAGTTATAGAATCTGAAGATTTAGGGTTAAATGTGTGATGAAGGATTGAAGGGGAATTGTGAATTCATACCAACAACCTTGACTCTCAATTCAGTATAGGGAATAAACCATACAAGAGCTATCAAATAATCCTTGGAGTGAAATTAAAGAAACCGTGAAGATTTTAGTGGATAGATGAACAACGATTTTAGTGAAGAGATGAAGAGCTGGGGAAGGGACGAAATCGATTTCTAACTGAAAAGAAAAATCTAATTGAATAGATAAACCTATTAAGGTAGCGGCTAGGGAGGTGAGACGGGACGTAATCACAGGTGTGGTGGAAGAGTCACATTCGTAGTCATCAGTGCGATGGAGGAGTTGCACACCCAATTGATAGTGAAACGATTCTGTTATAAGTATTGGCTTATCGTTGGTCGATTTGTAATGAGTAAGGCCTCACGTTGCCAGAGGAGAAGTGACCAAAGGCGAAGCAAGGTGAATCGTCCATTGTTTTAGAGCTAAGAGAGATGAGAGAGTGTTTTCGTTCTTGAAAAAATCCCTAGCTAAAATGGTCACAACGATTTTGTGGAATTTAGTATTTCGTGATGTTTTGGGATTTTGTTGTGTGAGAAAAGAGGAGTGGTTATGATATTAGGGTTTTTTGGGTATTGTTCAGTGAGGAGAGGGAAGAACGATGGAAATAATGCAGAGGATGAACGAGATGTTTGATGATACTGATAAGAAGGAGATCAAGTAGAGATCCGATGAACGAGATGTTTGATGATACTAAAGATGAAGATGAGGGACCTAGGGCTTTTTCATGCTAAGTAGAAGAGTCGCGGCGATTAATTTTTGGGATTCAATAGGCGGGGATAATTTTCATCGATTTCATTTCCCGCCTAAAACGCGTATTTGACTTAAAAAATATAAAGCGACACATTTACATGACGCGCATTTTATGAAAGGCGCCCTCCGCAGTTTTGTTTCTTTTCTGACACTAATTTTAGGGCGCGCACAAATGCGTGCCCTCTATCCTTCAAATTTTGCAAAATTGACATTATCTTTTAGGGCACTTACAAATGCGCGTCGTCTATTAGCAAGTGTCATTGTTTGCGAGTCATTAAAGGGTTGTTTTCTTGTTGTGGAACTAAATATCACGGATTGGTATTTATACTTCAACTATTGGAAGCTCAATATATGAGCTGATTCATAATAAGTATATGGATACAAACCATAGGAAATATTTAAGTAGGGTATTGGGTAGTGATAAACCCTAGTATTCTAAGATATTAAGTTACTTCAAAATTTTAAGAAAAATAGTTTAAGTGAACTAGGAGTTTTGAGAATATTTCTAAGCTTAAACAATAATTGTTAAGTAAAACTGATACGATATGTATCTGGTATATTTTTGGTTGAATACCTAATGGAGTCAAGCACTAGAATATTAAGAGGAGATATGCCTTATATTCTAATATGTGCTAAATGATAAATGAATATAGTGCTTATCTATAATTGCTATTATTTGAGAAAGCTTAAGGTCTGTTGCCGACCTTGGTTTAGAAAATTTTATGTTCAGAATTCTATGAGTTTTCGTAATAGAATTTTCTGAAGTGATAAAGAGACTTATGATAGTTGTCATCGATAAGTTTATAAACAAACGATCGCGAGATATCGTAAAATAATAAATATGAATTGTTATCGTAATAAGTGTGTTAATACAATAGAGTGGTAATATACATTTAAAGTATGTTTTATATATAATAACTTCTTTGGAATAAAAATGTGTGTTTGAAACACGTTTGGGCAAGATAAATGTGTTAGTACAAATCCACGAAGTTGTTGTACCACTATTCAGATTGAAGCACTAATTATTTAAAGAGTCGGAAGAACTGAAGATGGCGATCAATACTTCGATAGTATCTCAATTGATGTTGTACAAGATTTAGAAGAATTAAATGAAGATCAAAAGAAAGGTTAATGAAGTTTTCAGACTCAATAGGCCAAGACTTTGTGATGTAGTATGTAGTTCGAGTAGTAACCCTATAAAAGATGTTGAAACTTAGTATTTAATAATACTAAGTGATGATTGACTTCTATCCCATCCTTATAGAAGTTCCATTGTGTGTTAAGCCGACTTTAACATACAAGATTGGGATGGTGAATTGAGTCATTTAGTGGTAAATGGTTAAGCAACTTACTTGTTTAAGTAAGGTACAATGCTTAATTAAAGAAGAAATACACCCATAGTATCGTATGAGAAGAGATGTTGTAGTCAGGAATGACAGAGAACCAAGTTGAAGCTAGTAGAGCTTGCTGAGATGCAGCTAAGATGCAGACTTCTTAGAATAGACTCCTATGAAGTAGACTTAGACTTACTCAGATACAAGAATAACGATGTCAAGGAAGAATAATGAAATGAACAAATGTGCATGATGGATTGCATGAGTTAGAAGATGATGCAGGTAGTACAAGACCGTTTGTCTCCATGCTGCTAAAGTAAATTTTGGAATAGTGTGTCTTGTAGAGTAGACACTACTCAAGAAAGAATTAATATGAAAAAATGGAAGTAAAATTTCTATCGACCTATGGAAAAGTATTGAGATATATTAAATCGAGCATATGCATGAGAAGAATCCTAAAAAGCGAGTATAGGTAGTCCAATATATGTTTGATAGAAACGTGAAAACTCTAGCTGAGTCTAGGAGAAACTGTTGTATGTATTTGTTTAAACACATTCATGTACGATAAGTTGCTTTGTGAAAACTTTTGAATTGTGACTTGGGAACTGCGAGACAATACTTGGGACGAGTATGAGTAGGTGTAAATAGTAGTATAGGACTATACTACTGGAAGCACAGGAATCACACTTGGATCAGGAAAAGTCACACTAGTAAATGATTCCGTTTTATTTATGTGTGTCGTTACCTTCGATTCGGTAATGACTAAGAAGATAAGTATTGTTCAACTCTTAATGTCAGAAAGAATCGAGTCTGATTAGTATAAATCCGCGAAAGGAGTTAATTGGTTCAGAGAACCATGTCTTATATAGTACAAAACTTCAGTAGGAATACTGAAGAAGTAAATAGTCGAGATAGTCGATAGAAATATAACAATATTCATTAAAGAATTGAGCAACCATTAGCCAGAGATGTGATTTGCTATGTGGTGTTACTGGCCACAAGAAATGTATCCGCCCTACTCTTACTAGTTAAAGGCTAAAAGATGTGTATATCCGAAAGCATGAATTAGAAATACGTGATGTTATTCTTTCTATTCTTAAGCATCCACGTGTTGATCAAACTCTTTTTGTTTTCGCCATTCTATCAGCTCGATTTATTCGATCTAATTCTAATACAAGAGTTTGGATCGTTATGTGTCTTATGCGAGATAAAATCAAAGGTCATTAGAATATGACCATTCGAGTTGTTGTTATAGCAAAAGTAAAGACCTTATCTTAGGTTTAGTCTATAAACCAAGAAGGAGCAGGAGTCTGCAATGAGAATTGAGTTTTAACTCAAAGATTAGGATCGAATGTTCCATAGAGAATGAAGTGCGGGTGCAAATTTGAACACCGCTAGTAACTAGGAAGTTTGAAGAATTTGACAATCGTTTGGCAAACTAAAAGCTAAATATCGTACATTTTAGATTACCACAAAGGAAGTAAGTTAAAACTCGAATGTTGTGACTATTAATTTTCTCGTAAAATCTAGATCTACTCACATTCTTTCGTGCCTTATAAATTCACATATTCTTTTCAAATTGCTTGTTACGCAATTGTCCAATCATTTCATATAGATAACATAGGAAATATATCATTACTTGTTGATAAAGCCTATAGAGTTAGTGTTATAGAAATTGAAAGTTATAATCTTCCTACTAACCTAATTCCTATCTTTGATATTATTCTCGACACGGATTGGTTGTTAAAGAACCACACAGAGCTATTGTGCTCCAAAGAGATTATATGCATCCCTATCGAAAGGGAAGATTCTATTTATGTCTACGGTGAAAATAATAAATTTCTTTCTTAAAAACTCGTAAATTATGTCGAATGGATATTCTACTTATCCTACTTATACAGCTAATACCTTGAAAGAGGAGAAGAAAACTATGAATGATAACCTTTAGATAATTATCGACCGGATGATGAAGAGTGTATATATTCTCGCCACACGTGAAATAAATCCATTGGAGAAATACGCGTAAGTTACTTAGATGAAATCATCGTGAGACATGGTGTGCTACTAAAGAATTTTTTTTTTTTCGATCGTGATACTCGCTTCACTTCTCACTTTTGGGCAAGTATGATGTAACATACACGTTTTGAAATCGTGTTTTGTAATGAATAAAATTGTGAAATACAATGTGAAATTGAGTGTTGAGTTCTAACATATGGTTGTTACTAGAAATGAAGTAAAACTATGTTTAGAATCACTCATAAAATATTGGATGTCTTATGAGATTCCAATTAAAAGCCAAATAGTGAAATTTAATGAAAATATAAAATTTTAAATAAGTAAAATTTTATTATTGAAAGTTGTAAATAATCTCGTTAGAAACTTGTAGGCGAAAACCTCGTCGAAATCCGAGTTATAACGAAGAAGTTATGACCAACCGAAGATCCGCGACAAAACCGACACGACACCGAAAGTTGTAGTATACGTTAAACCAACAAATTCGATAAAATGAACGCTAAAATCTGACTTCGTATGAGGAAGTTATGATTTTTCGAAGTTTCAACTTAGCAGTAGACAGCTAAAAACACGAATTTTAGATTGAGCGATATTTGACCAATACATACTAAATGAGAATCGAAGGTCTCGTCATTTGTAGTACAACGGTAAAAAGTCTGACGAAAACGGATGTCGTATGAAGAAGTTATGAATTTTTAACGGATTTTCCTGTCCCGGTCTGTTAAAAATAATAATATTAAAAATAAAATCAAAATTAGCCGACGAAGTCTAAATGAAAGTTGGTTATCGTAATTTTAGCTACGCGTGCATATAATGAACGTCAAAAACGGAGCTCCTATGCGAAAGTTATGAATTTTAGAAATTCGGGGCTCAATTACTTAGGAATCTCGCATGAGTGGTCTGAAATCAGCCACGTCCCTCGCACGAAGCTGCTTAGTAACCGGTGTGTTGTTCGAAGCGTGGCCCAATGAGATTCCGATGCGCCTTTCGGCATCGTAGGAGACGTATAAGACGCCTCGCATATGGCCCTTTGCACTGGAAGCCACGTCCGAACTTCGTAGCCTTCTTCATCTGCTGACATCTATTCGCTTCTCAGCCCTCGGATTAGAAGCCTCGGCCCTATATAAAGGGAGGCGTGTGAGCTTTCCCGGGTAATCTTGGAAATTTGCCATTTTTAGCCCCTTTATCCATATTTTCATCATTTTAACATTCCCTGAAGCTCCGGTATCAATTATAACCCCCGAAATACGCCACTAAGTGCCTGAGAAGCGCGGAAAAATTTATCTTTTCGGTTTTGAAGCCCTACCCTTCGTAGATCCCAGTTTTCAATTAAGCTCCCTGTTTTCAACATAGAAAGTCATATTTAAAGCCAAAGTGCTGCCCAAATTACTATTTTGATCCCCCGATTAATTTAAGGTGAGTTCAATATATAGGAATAATTGTATGTTATGTGTTATATGTGCTATGTGCTTTTCAGTGTTATTATTCTGAGTTATTTTCCCGTGTTATTTTATTCGCTATGTTTATAGCAAATTCAATACCTTTGACCATGTGATCAGTGAAAGGACTTAGATTCACATTGATACTGGTGCGTAGCCTATGGCCATGTAGAGCATGTCTCCGTATGAGCATGAATTCTATTCTATGTCATTGGCAAATGGTTAGACAGGACTATAAGCCTGAAATCTAACAAGATGTTAATCAGAAATTTCATGTCTTCTATGCCATTTGGGCCAATGTTTTACTGATGTATATCAAGCAT